AGAACCACCCAGCTGAGCCCAACTCAGATTGTGTAGCCGCAAATGAACAACATGGTTATTTTAAACTAGACATCTGGGACGCCTGGGTGGCTCAGCAGTCAAGCGTCTGCCTTCGGCTCAGGTCATGATCCTGGGATCGAGCCCACATCAAGCTCCTCACAGGGAGCCTGCTTCTCCCTCTGCCTATGTCTCTGCCTCTCTCTGTGTGTCTCTCATGAATAAAATCTTTAAAATAAATAAATAAATAAATAAATAAATAAATAAATAAATATTTAAAATAAATGAGTAAAAATAAACTGACATTTGAAGTGGTTAATTCCTCAGCAATAGGTAACTGAAACAAATGGCAGCTCTAGTGTTTTTTTTGTTTTTTAAACATTTATTTATTCCTGAGAGACACAGAGAGAAGTAGAGGCACGGGCTGAGGGAGAAGCAGGCTCCTCACAGTTCCTGATGTGGAACTCGAGCCCAGACCGGGATCACTCCCTGAGCCAAAGGCAGACGCTCAAACTCTGAGCCACCTAGGTGTCCCAGCAGCTCTAGTTTTTATTATTCCAGTTGTTCAGGTCAGAATCCTAGAGTCGTTCCTTACTCCTCTTTCCCTCACACTCCACATCTGATCCATACACGATCAGGACATCCATATCTAGCAGGGACACCCAAAATTTGCCACTACCACTCTGCCATCCTCTCTCACCTCCTTCCTATTTCCACCCTTCCCCCTGCTGCCCATACCCCACTCACCCCCACCCCAGTTAACCTTCCACACAAGAGTCAAAATAATCCTTTTTAAGTACAAAAAGGGCCATGTGTTCCTTTGCTCAAAACTCTCCAGTGGCCACTGCATCACTCAGAGGAACATCCCAAGTCCTTACCATATCTTAGGAGTATCCCCCCATACAGACCTGCTGTCTTGCCAACCTCATTTCCTGCCAACCCACCCATGCAGTGTATTTGGATCCAGCCACACTGGCATCCCTGCTCACCCTCAAAAAGCCTAACAGGGGCCATCAGGGCCTTTTTTCACTCATGCCCAATCTGGCCAGAAGATACTTCCACTGCACAGTCACTGGGCTGACCTCCCTGTCTGAATCCTGTCTCTGCTCCAGTGGCACCTGGGAGCGTTCCTCCTGAGCAACAGATCTAAGAGGGCCTGTCCCCCTCCCCAGCACTGTCCCCTCTCACCCTCCCACTGGGCTCTGCTTCTCTGCACCAAACTCATGTCTGTATTCTTTTCTTCCCTCTTGTTTGCTGTCTGCCTCCATCTATCACCACACGAGCTCCTGGAGGGTGTGGATGCTGGAGGTTTTATTCACTGTTGACGCTCCCCGTGTCTAGAACACTACACCTGGGCAGCTGTGCAGCTCAGGAAATAGGTGAACCTATGCCTTACTGAGTGTCATCTTTTAGATTCCCAAAAAGTAGGTCACAAAGGTCCCAGACTTCCAAGCTCCACCCTGTGTTCTGTGGCCCCTCTCCCTGGAGCCCAGGTGGAGCACAGCACCTCCGAACAACTCTTCATGCTTCTCACCCACTTTAACCCTCCAAGGCTTTCTGGTGGCCCTCAGGATCAAGTTTGCCCTCCTTCACGTGACCCAGAAGGGTCCACCGGATGTGATATGGCTCCTCACTCGAGGTTCAGCTATGCCACCCACCAGCACACACTGCACTCCAGCCATGCTGCTTTATGCTCTCCGGCTTCGCCCATGCAGTTCCTCCTGCCAGGAATGCCCTCTCCTGCCTTCCACCGATGTCCACCAACCTGCAGGCTCAAACTACACATCACTTCCTCAAAGAACCTGTCTGTGGCCCACCATCTTTCTGTGGTTCCTTCTTGCCCTCTCCTTTCCTTTCCATACTACCCATAATTGGTGGAAGTGTAGGAGGTCATCCAGCAGAGGTCGTCACCAGCAATTTGGGGTTACAGAAGCATGGCTGAGGAAGGAGGGCAGCCAGGGGTGCTTTTCAAGGCAGGATCAGCTGCATACTTTGTGGGGAAAAGTGAAAAATGAAAATGCATGCCCCATTATTATTAAATATTATTAAGAGTTTCAAGAGAGCAACAGCAGAACATTCAATCAAGCATGGGCAGCCTCTGAGCATGGGGGGCTGTGTGACTCCACTGGTCACACACCCATGAAACTGGCCCCGTCTGGTGACCACCATTAATAAACTAAGGCAGAATGTCACATTAGATGCCCAGCCATGCCGGTGACTTGTGGGTGTGTCAATACTGGCGACCTCCTCAAAGATGGGGCGGTATTCTTGTTTTATGGAGAGTGACCAGAGCTCCGTTCTTGAGCCAAAGAAGATCTAATCTCCAGGCTGCATGCTCATCCGATGCTCCATCCAGGCTAAGTTCTTCCACTGCCAATCCAGAACAAGCTTAACTTAATGACACAGGCAAATGCCAAGAAGAGAAATGGAGACAGTAAGGAAAGAGAGGCTGTCTTCACCCTTTCTATGATGCAATAGAATATTTATCTCTTCTTCTCTCAACTGTTTGAGTTCATCAAATCTCCCCTTGGTTTTTGAATAATAGCTTCTTCCCAGTAAATAAGTTAATGAACTACGGGCTCAGAAAACCGTTCTTTCAAATAGCCGACTGAGTATTGGATAAATTTTAACATTTGCCCCTTTAGGAACAGACCGTGGCTCCAGATATGCAAAGCAATTATATTCTAACAAAATAACAGGAGATGTACAGTTCGTTGGCTTTATTTTAAAACAAGAGAGCTATAATGTGAGGTCTCTGAGACACTCGACCTGCCCTAATAGAGTCCTCTCGGTATTTTATTGTGTTTCTCCACATCTGACCTGGATAATTTCAGTGACTCTGACATTCCCTCTCCTATACCATTCATGATTTGACATCAATGTTTCATAGATATTATTTAATACAGCCCACAATGAGAATATGCTTTACGTCGTCGTGACCCAGTACACATGCATCAACAGAACTAAAATAAAAATTTCGTGTGTGGTACACTCTGAGATTTTTCCATTGTGTTCTATTTCATTTTTTAGAAATGATCATCTGACCCACTACATTGGTTTTATAACCTACTCAATGGGTCATGACCCAGTTTGGAAATGTGGTTTTAGATCATACTAGTACACATTATTACCCACATTCCTTCCACCAGATCTTAACTCAAGCTCTATGTGAAGTGTCCACAAATCCACAAGAATAAAAAAGAGGTGGCTTTTAAAAAGGCAAGCATTTAGGGGCTCCTGGGTGGCTCAGTTGGTTAAACATCTGACTCTTGATTTTGGCCCAGGTCATGATCTCAGGGACATGGGATAGAGCCCCAAGTTGGGCCCCATGCTTAGCAGGGGGTCTGCTTAAGATTCTCCCCCTTTTCCTCTGCCTCTATGCCTCCCCTCCTGTGCTCCCTCTCGCTCCCTAAAATAAATAAATAAATCTTTAAAATAAATATATAAATAAAAAGGCAAGGATTTAAATGATTCCACCAACAAAAAGGGCAGTACCATTCTAGAGCTAGAAGGCTAAAATGAGGGAAATTAGGCAGGATAACACAGAGCAGGTCTTCACAGCTTGGTGGGCAGGTCCAAGCAGAGGGAAGAGAGTGGCCAAGGCAGGGAACCTTCTGAGGTCAGGCATTCCCAGCATGGAACCACCATGTTCTCTAAAGTGCCAGAGTCTCCCAGAATATCAGATTCGCTCACATTCAAACACAGAAAACATTCCGTGGAAAAGGCTTTTCTGTCATCTTTGAGGCTCCTGACTCCTGTTTCCCGTAAGCAGTCACCATCTTGACATCTTCCTCTTCAAAGAATCTCTCACACCCACCCCTTCCCTCCCCTCCCGGTTCTCCAGCCTCCAGCACAGTCTGAGGTGAACCTGTGGTATCCAGACTTGTCATGGCAGCCAAACAAACCAACTACCCTCCAAGCAGCTTCCACGGGTGGTGCCTTCAGTGGCGCTGACCATCTCAATCATGTCCACATTTTTTCTGGCTGGCCTTCAGGTTCTAGAACCTCCATTCCTGAGCACACCCTCCTCCTAGGTCTCTCCTCAGCAGCCATCCCTCTACTGGACCACACAGTCTCATTGCACAGGGAGCGCCTGGTGAGGATAAGATTGATATCGCACCTACTACAAGTCTGGGCCCTGAGGGCGTGCCCTGCCTGCCTCCTCCCATCTCACCACACACTTCCAGGGAGCCATATGGATATAGTATCTGACTAGAAATGCAACTAGGTGGGCACCCCCCGCCCCCCGCTTGCCACCATACAACCCTTCAGCCACATACAAAATTGCTTTCCCTACTTGCCCCCAGAATGAAACCACCACTTGGAATGAGGGAGGATCTCTATAGGCCCAACAACTCACCATCAAGACACCAGGTTTTCTTGATGCTACCCCCCCGCCCCCCGCCAGGAAGAATTGTGGCTGAGCACAGCACCAGGAAGGGTCAGGTTGCACTTCAACCAAACAGGTCTGTTTTTTTGCAGGTGGATGATGGGATCTGAATTCCCAACAAGGTTGCCCTTTGGGGACTGGTTGTTAAAGCTCATGCCAGCTGGCAGCAGGCTCTGGCCAGGCACATGGTGGCCTCACTCCCAGGTCCACCATTTTCTTTCCTTCCATTGTTCTCTCTGAGGCCAATATACCACAACTGTCCCTACATCTTCAACCTTCTCTAGAACACAGCAGGAGGCAAAGAAATCCTATCTTGAATTTTCCCTATCATCTCATGTGCTCCTTCTTGATGCTCACCCTGCCCTGCTAGAAGAGCAGCTCCTCTAGAGAGTCAAATGCAACACTCATGCTCTGAGATGACCACTCACGTAAAAACATCCTTTCAATTTGTACCATGGAATATCCATACTCGAGTGTCATTCTGGTCTTTTACCCCACTCTACTTCCCCAGGCTCACCACAGTGAAAAGAAAGGGAGTAGGGGAGTCTTGAAGGGTGAGGGGAGATGGACCCCAAACCATTGGCTGCAAACCCAGTGAGACATGCCAACCTACCTTGGTCAAATCCATTCCCAGTTTGAGCTGTGAGATGAGATGAAGAATTATACTCCGTTGATCCTCCATGACGCCCAACTCTGTCTCTTCCTTATCTTCAGTGTCACTTTTTTCATCTTCGGACAAAACCAGTTCAGGGCCTGAGTTTGGCTAAAACAAGACCATCAATAAGAATCACCAGCTGGCCCAGCAGAAGTTAGAAGCACAGCGTAGGGACCCATATACTTAGCAATGACAGAAGGAGCCAAATCCTGCCCCCAGAAATAGTTTCTCTGTAAGCCAATACTATTAGACACAGGGTGGACAAGGACTCTTTTGGGGCCCAGGCCCTTTTTGGGATGTTTTAGCCACTGTGCATGCCCATTCATTTTCCCCATCATCCACTGTTAATGAATCTTCTAATTCACCACCACCAACAAAAAAAATGCCTGCTCTTCAAAAAAACTATATGGGTATGAGCTCCCTTACCTGGACTATGCCCACAAAATATTTTCCTATTAATTTGCATAACCCAGAACACTTTATATCTAATGTAAACTTTTTTGTTAATAAGCAAAAGTCAGATACCCCTGGGACAAACTGAAATTACCTTAGTTACGAGAAAATTTACTCTAAGACTATTTCTACTCACATCAATTAACATCACTACAGCAAGTATAAAAAAAAAGTCTCAGAGCTGGCATGAATTGAGAAAGGGAGACAAAAATAAAAATGTAAAGGAAAACGTGGAAATTTTATAACGCCGAAACTCATGCTAGGCAACGGACCTGGCTTTCCTCAATGCAAGTTTATTAATTGAATTGTTTGATTCTGATTTTTCAAATTACATAGTTAACAGGCAAGTTAATGAGCAGAATGTATGAGAGGGATTACTGAGCACAACATTTTCAAGACCCCAATATCAAGAACTCTGACTATCGTGTAAAGTTGTCCTTGGAATTCTACTGAAAGGAGTAACCAGATGCCCCATTTCATGTTTACCTGTGTTTTTATGGTACTTATTTACACATAAGCTGAACCACTCTGTAAAAAATGTTACATAATGTTTCTAATTACCAATGACAGGTCAGACCCATGAACTTAATATACAGAGATGCAGGAGCTCAAGGTATGAAATCTAAAAGGATATAGACTTGCCCATGTGTCTATGCAAAAACTAATGATTTATAATCCCCATTGGACAGAATCATCTCGTTTTATCTAAAGGCACTTCCAATACCCCAAGGGTGTTTTAGCCATCAAGAGGGTTGTAACCGAGCAGCCTAGCATACACAGGCTGGCCATTCCTTACCAACACTCTGCGGAGGAAGTACGGTGCTCTTCTCCCCAGGAGTAGGCATTTAAAAAATCTCCAACGAGACATTTTCCATAGACACCCCTCTCAAGTTATTCTCAATCACCTCTGACTGACCCCAATTCTGGAGAGACAACTGGAAAGACTGCAACAAAGCCCACGGGGGTAGGCTCTCCCCCAGACAAGAGTGGTGTTCTCCCCACTGTGTGCCTGGTCTCTAGCCTCATTGTAATGTGTGTTGTTTGACATCCCTGGAAAATTATTTTACTAGAATATACTGAAATAAGTGAGGATCCTTGGCCCCTCATCCTGCTCCACAAAAGACTCACCAGATTAATCTAGGGGTGGGGGGGGTAGGGAATGGGCTGCCCGTATTTCATGCCAGGAGGTTGGAGAGGGAGGGGCTCTGGAGGCCACCCCACCTCTCCTACAGCTTTACCTCCTTGACACCCATCTGCTGTGGCTCAGTGCCCGCTGCTGCCCAGACCACTGAGCTGGAATTGGCTGGAAAGCTAGGAATAGCAGGGTCATCTTCCCACTGACCTGCCCCTCTGGATTTCAGTTTTGAGGTGTACAGCTGTCTCATTTCACCGGGACTTTACAGTTCCAACTAGACGCCACAGAAGCCAGAAAGCTCAGACACAATCCCTTCCGATGGCAAAGGTGCTGCTGTTGGCTACTTCCTGTGTAGTGACCTGGTGGGCAGTAATCTGTGTTGGCAGATTTACCCTCAATGCAGGGGCAGCTGCGGGGAGGACAGGACAATGCCCTGGGCATCTTGCTTTGGCAGGAAAAAAGACGATCAAACACAAATCAAGCTACCAGCATGCACTCCCTGGGGGACGTGGGGGTTGTGGCCTGCAAAGTCCTTAAACATCTCCACAGGAAAGGGAGCTGCATTTTGAGTGCAATTATTCCTGCTCGAAATGAGTTGTTCTCACCAAGCACGGAATGCAGACTAAACAAATCAATTGCTCAAGTGAGGCCGCCATAAGCTTTATGAAGCAGAATGATCCTTTCTTCTGAAAATGTGACTTCCCATTTGTCCACACACCAGCACACAGGGCATTCTCCATCCTCCCCCGCTCACTGCCACACCTGCTGCAACGTGCTTACAGACCACCCGGGACCACGCTTCCTCCTGCTGTCTGCTTTACATGGAAATTAAACCCAGCTTGTCCCTGACTTCTGGTAGCCAGAAGTCTTTCTGCAAGATCCTGCCACATGATACTAAGTACACACATCAATGTGTGAACTTCCCCAGGTCTTCCACATTGATCCAACATTACATTTCCTCTGTGTCTGGTGATGCCCCTCAGAGACTATGGCTACAGCAGAGAGAATTAAGGCTGGTGCATGGGCCCAGAAGCTGACTCACTCCAGGGCAACTAGAAGCCAGAGCTCAAGGGAGCCCTTCCCAGGGGAAGAAAGGCCAGGAGGAGCCCAACACACATCAATGGCTTGGATCCTCAGCAAACTGCCAAAGCTTAACCAAGGATCCAGCAATATTTCTCTCTCCCAGAGCCTCTGAGAATGTGCCCTGTTACTTATCGTATGATTTACAAAAACCTCTCCTACCCAAACTCAAGTGAATAATTAGGATTAAGAAAAAGAAGGGGTGGTTGGTTCAGTCGGTTGAGCATCTGACTTCGGCTCAGGTCATGATCTCAGAGTCCTGGGATCAAGCCTCATGTTGGGCTCCTCACACAGTGGAGAGTCTGCTTCTTCCTCTGCCTCTGCCCCTCCCTCACTCGTGCTCTAATAAATAAATCTTTTTTTTTTTTTAAAAGGTGGTTTCATTCATCATGTTGTTAGTGCATGTCTTAGAAGACACCCCAATTCCACCCATACTGGAAGTCAATCTTTTGCAGAAAGGTGACACCACCCTCCATTGTGGGTCGAAAATGAGGGCAAGAGGAAAGAAGGCAGGAGTCTTCAACTGGTCAACCCCGTTAGAAAGAGGTCAACTGGCAATGTAAATACAGATCTCTCAGCATCCACAAAGCACCCACTGTTAACTGGCACTGCAAGAAATGCAGAATTTGAAGAACTTTGTTGGCATTTTAAAGACAGAAAAACTTCTCCCTTTTTAGGGTCATGAGTTTGTCGATTCTGCTGGTCTGCTGTGAAATCCAAAACATCGATAAGGCCACGGGATCTAGTTTCCATAATCAGGCCCATGTGCCCCTTCCACATCCTCACTCTCCCACCCTTGGTGCTCTGCTTCCCTCCTGGGGGCCCCCGCATGCCTGCACCCTCCAATCCCGTTGCATTCCTGCTTGTAAAGCTGTGACAACTGCCTCGAGGTGCTCCAAGGTGAGAGAACAGTATTTCTCAATCTCAGAAGAAAACTGAAAATGAGAAATGGTTTTATGAATGCTGAGAGAAAGTTCCTAAGACTGAGTAAGCAAGAAGGATCATGAAATTCCCCCCATCCCCCTAGAGATCTCTGCAAAGAAGCCAACCCAGCCATAAAAACGTATGCCAGCTTGAAGATAAAATGGAATCTATGTTTTAGAGAGAAGCAGGCCCTGGAAAAATGAGGTTTTTAATGAAAACAAAAATTATGAGTCAATATTTCTACCGCACGAGCACCTCAGGGCATATGGTGCTACTCAAAATCAAGTGACTCATGCCCATTAGCAAACAGGGGGACATGTAATGGGCAGGAAATAGCTTCGTGGCAGGCTAGAGTTTAGGGTGACTCGTCGGCGTGTCTACAACAGTGCCCCTACAGAGCAAGAGTTCTTCATCGGGGCACCATGGACGCACCTAAAGAGATCTACCACCACCATGCATATTTGAGACAAACACTATGTGTCTGGGCATTTTCTAGAGAGGAGGTCCACACTCTCCTTGGATTCTTAGAAGAAGATCTGCCCCTGGGCTGATCTCAGGCCTCTCGTGGATCAGAGGGTCTGGGACCACGTGAGAGAGATGGACTCTCAGGATGGGTTGAGTTCTAGTCAGACGGTCCTGGCACCTGCAGACAAGCTCCTGCCTTTAAGCACACACGTCTACTTCTTAGCTGGTACCGGGCAGCATATCCATGAGGCACCAGCTCTGGGCCAGAAGCAGAATCACAACCTGGGTTAAGGTTATGTAGGTTCAGCAGTCCTTTCAAGGGGGACGACGGTGCAGGGGCAACACTGAATTCTGCTTCCACCTCTTCTTTTTAACAAAAATCTTAATTCTGTAAGACAAATGCAAATTCCAAGCAAGATGGAAATTCCAATCTATTTTATTCAATACACACATGTCACTGAACTACAGTTTGGGTCAGTTCCAGAAAAAAAACATGAAACAGATATTTATCTTCAAGGCCCATTCATTTGCCTGTTACAGGCCCCGTCCCACCCCCACACCGGTACCTACTCCCCCACCCCCTTCCTCAGACAAGTACATGTAACCCAGACTTCTTTCTTCAGGATCCTCCCTCCTACTTTCTTAACTGGTCCTCACAGACAGCTGAGGCCAACATAAGCAGTTTGATCTACTAATGTCCTCTTTATTTGTAAATGCCTAATAACTTAGTGTCTTAATGCAAAGGGCTGAATCCTTAGATTTGAGGCATTCAGAAAGAAGCCTAGGTGGTACATTACCTGACCCTAAAAGAAGACTTTTCTGGTGAACAGAGAGCAAGGCCATGCTAGAGCCCTTACATCACAGACATGCAAGTAGGAAGGGTCTACTCTAACACTAGCGAAGATTAAGATGGGCACCTCCTGCTGACATCTGTGTCCTAAGGTCGGTATTCTTAAGTACATAAATACCTTCAACAGAACACAAAATCCACTGAGTACAAGTGATCTGCTGCTACCCTAAAAGTCTACTTGACCAAGGAAAATAAAAGCAA